AGGGAAACTAAGCAAAGTACATTTGAAGAAATATGTACCAATAACTTCATCGTGACTAGTTTTTCAATGATTCTTACCTACAACAGTGAGCTCCAGACTAAATGAATTTTGTCCTGTTTTATTAGTGGCAAGGCAAGTATAAGTTCCAGCATCATTTTGTGAGAGAGGATCAATAAGCAGAGAGTGTACTCCAGTCTCTCTGACCAGCATCTTATGGGTGCCGTCTGGTAGCACAGGTTTGCCGTTTAGGAGCCACGTCAGGTCTGGAGTTGGTAATCCACTCACCTAAAAGACAGTGAAACAGAGAGAGACAAATGTCAAACTGACAAATAGATTTTAGTAAATAAATAGGTAAGTCTTTTTTTTTTTTTTTTCCAAATACTGACTGAATTATGTCAAAGTCTAGAACAGAAAGATTAAGGTTTGTTTGTTTTTTTTATTTCTCAGCTTCTGTTTTCTGCTGATTAGTTCCAAAAGGGAGAAATCCAGAAAACAAGCAAGCAAAAAATACATGAAATGTCTAAATTTTTCTTAGTCAGATAGGAAGATACTTGGTTATATATCAGTGTCACAAAAGACTCCTAGTAATCTGCTAGTTTTCTGGGTTTTTTGTAATGCTGGGTATAAATCAAAACCCTGGATCTAAACCACTACAGAGTTTAATAGACATTAAGTGTTTTATACAAATTACTTTGTGTTTCATAAATTTGATGAAGAATGATATAGTTCTTTGTAGCTGCTAAACTTACATGCTTTAGAGCACTATAGATTAAATATCTCTTAGAAAGTTTATTAGGCTGTATTATAGTCTTAACGATCTTTCCAATAGATAGAAGTACTTACTCATGTCTGAAATACTTTCCAAATGATATTCTACAAACCAGAGAAAGAGGGAAGTAGAACTTTCCTGAACGAGGACTGCTGTCTTCTAGGTTTGTGCAATACCAGACATGCTTTAAAGGCTTCATAAGCCAAGGTAGCAGAGCTAAGAATAACAAAATTCTCTGGCATGCTCCCTAGTAAGGTTTTCATTGTAAATGAGTAATGAATCCTGTTCGTCTTCAGGACATTAACTAGTGCTTCAGAGCTTCTACCCTCTTCAAGATAAGAGACATTCTGGAGTGTGAAAGAGGTCAATGTCAGCTGTACCACCTTTGCTGCACTACTGGAACATATAAGAACTACTGAAATATGTTGGAGCAGATGACTTTCTTAGAGCTGTTCAACAACAGGATATTTCCTGCATGTACTCTAGCCTCTGACAACTCTCTCATGTCAGGATTTGAATCTGTAAATGGGTATGTTTCTGCATCTGTGCATACCAGGGAAGCATAAAATGAAGTGGGCTCTCTTCCCTCTTTTCAGGGAGTATTAACCTTCAGTAATTCAGTCCAATACAATGGGAACATTTGCTTGAACAGAATGCAACATGCTGAATCCTTTCTTTCTCATGGTTTTGTGCTATTCTGGATTATGTTCAAGAATCTGATAGCAGAGCAGAGTTCATACTGGTAAAGGACACGGTACACATATCTAGTAATTTGAACAACCTTGTAAGTAAGACTTCTATTTCTGGGGTTGTGTTTTCTATGTTCTTCATTCCATATAGAATGTGTTGAAGAGAAATGCCCTGAATCAGCTCAGATACAATGGCAATAAGAAATATTTTTTTTTTAAATGAAGCATTAAAACTTTAACAGGTGTTCAGTCATGCAATAAAAGACATGAAAACACCTAGCAATACATGTACAGAGTCAGAGGGAGTAAGAATGAACAGAGGAAATAGTTAATACCTTACAATCCAACCTACAAAGTCGCCCTTCATGTGCTACCATGTCACCTGGAGCCTGTAGAAAGTATGGCCTGAAAAAGCGTTCTTGAACTGCCTCTTTGTCTCCTTCTGGCACCCGGGATCGTGTTCTGCAACACAAAAATTGCATGTATATGTTTGGAAGGCAGAGTTTTTTCCTAATGCTTAAAAAAAGGAAGAAATTGTTGAAAAGGATGAACAGATAGAGTTAGATAAAAGAGCAGAAAGAAATGGACTGATGGAAATTTAATACTTGCATATTTTCCACTTAGAAAGATTACCAAATTAGCTATATCATGTAGTATCATTGGATTCCCAGGCTATCCTTCACTTCTTTTTGCCGCCTTTTGGCTGAATTTCATCTTGCTAATCCATTCCTTGCCTTTAACTCTACTGCGACAGGTAAATAAAATAATACTTTACACTTAAACTTCCCAGTATTTGAAGATGACCTTCAAAAATACTACATTCTAGAAGTGACCTTTTGGGTCACTCTTACTTCCATTTTATCATTGAGAAGTGAAGTACAGAGTGCATTGAAGTACAGTAGTTAGTTATTTTGAACACCTTCAGTAAGAAACATAAAAAGGGTCTGAAGGACTTGTCTTTTTTTTTACCTGTGAGGCTGAACTGTTGATACTCGGCCCCGAACAGGGATACTCTGTACCATCAGGTGGCCTGAACAACTGATTCTCCCCTACAAATTACAATGGAAACAGAATTAATAGTTTGTTAATAGCTCATTTTATGCAACGTATAAATATTTTATCATTTACAATGCAATAGGATTTATTTTATAAAGTAGATGAATTATAGTATAAATATTACTTTTTCAAAGCAAATGTTATTAGCATGTGGTGGAGTGCAAGTGAGGACGGGGTTTCTTTGTGTGTCTAGAGCAGTGTGTTTCTCAGCCTTTTCAAGGCTATGGCAGCGTATTTAGCAGTGGTGCTGTGTAAACCAGCTTGAGCAGTGTCTATCCCTGCTTGCTCATTCCTGCCACCGTCTCTCCACAAGGACTAGCACATGTGTTTGTGCAGTCACATAGAAACTGTAAAGTAGTTGGGTTGAAATATAATTCAACAAAAAAGGAAAAAATTCGAACTGGAAAAAGTTACCTGATCTACTTGAGTGTACTGCTAAATAAACAACTAAGCTAGCACAGGGTGACAGAGAATGGTATTCGGGTATGAGAACATTTGCAGATCCACATTTTTGCATCCTAAGTATAGAATAATTGTGTTAGGTAACACTTCCAAATTTGACATAACTCTTTGTTTCCTTTTGCTCTATTCTTTCTGCCCCATATATGTCTGTCTTCTTACCGCATCTCAAAAGGTATCTATCAGCAGCACAGGTGGTGGGATCAGAAGATAGGACAGGAGTTATTAATGTGAAAAAATGTCCTCAACAATTGTGACAGGGATGTGTAAGAATAGGGCAGTAGTTTCATCATTCTTCATTACATGGTTTTCTCTCTTATCCTCTGAAGCAACTTGATTTTTGATAGCCACCACACAGTGTCAGACGAGGTGGCCCAATCTCTGTTCCTTTTAACGTATGTTAGAAAAAGATGAAACAAGAATTTTTGTAGTGGAAATTAAAACACCTTACTTGTGGGTTTGCAGCCATAATTGTATAGTTGCCATCATCGTCATTAGTGGCAGCTTCAATATGTAAAGAACATGTTCCATCTTCTTCTCTGTTCATTTTGAAATGCGTGTTTTTCTTTGAAATCTGCTTGCCGTCCTTGAACCAGTATACCTGTAGTGATCAGACACCCCCCAGTGACATATTGCTACCTGTAGTCAGTTGTGAGGCAGTCCATACATTATATCAAGGCCTGATACATGCTCAGGAGCAGATATTTTTGGTATAGAAAGTCACCACTTTCTAAAATTAAAAGAAATAATATATTATTTGGTTTAGAGCTATCATCTCCAAAGAGCCATGTTCTTAGGAATGAGGCTTTCCAGAGGGATGTATAGAAAATAGCATTTTTACTCCTTTACTGCTAACAGTGAGAATGTCCTACCTTGGGAACAGGTATTCCAACTATTTTGCAAGTGAATGTAATCGGAGATCCTTCCATTACCCGGAAGTGCTTAAGTCTCTTATCAAATATTGGTGCTATGTATTTGCCTGTAGGGATTTCCTCGTGTTGGACTTCATCATCTGATTCATCCACCGGGGTACGTTCAAGGCGAAATTCTATTTCGTTCATCAGCCTCTGCTCAAAACTTGAAATCCTGTATTCCTGTAGAGTGAGAGGCACGGTTCTGAACAAGATGAGTCATGTTCTGCGGTATTTGTAGTCCTTTGCCCCTTTAGACTGATTTTAAAGTTAGTGAAAATAAAAATGCCTACATAAACCGGGACATATTAAACCAGTCTGAATTTGGTCTGCTGACACAGATTCTCATTGCCTTTTGAGTTTGCTGAATGCAACTAATGAAACTGAGTTTTTTCAAAGGCAGCTAAAAAATCAATCATGTAATTGCTCCACCTCCCTATGAAAAAACTATACTGTTGATCAGAAAAAATTATTAAGATATACCAGATTTTTGAGGATTTAATATTCAAATGTAAGTCATCTTCTAATTACAGAAATGAAAACTGCTATATATTTCAATTCAGAATTCAATAAGGAAAACTATGCCTACTAAAAGAGAAAGCTAGGAAGAAAGTGAAATATTTTCAGCTAATTTGCCTTCAGGTTAAAATTTGACCAGATTTCTAGCTTGTGTAACTGACAAGGCAAAACATATACCACATTTAAATCCTTCTTAGAAGATTAAACAGATTATGCAAGAAACTCAGTCTATTCCTACCATAAATGACCATTTCCAGATAGTTTGATGTGATTATGACCCTCTTCCTAATCCCGTGAAGTCAATTAGAAACCTCTCTACTTGGCTGTTTTGCATGAGGATGTCTCTTGTCTAGACCAAAAGGCATTTGGCCAAATGTCTCTTGCTGTGATATGTGAAGCTTAAGAACAACAGCCAGCTTCAGTTTTTGGCACCAAAACAATGTTTATCCTCGGCATGGATACACCTGAATGGACTTCTCTGGTAGCAGACGCTGCCTAGCTACACTAACATAGACAGCTGCAAGAATGTCTGGCTTAAATGGTAATAAACTGTCTTGCAGGGAAGCTTGTATTACCATATGTAGACCTGTAGCAGTAACCAAATCAGTTTGCTCAGACCTGGATTTATGCAGTTTGCAAGGCCAAAGCTTGCATTCCTTCTTCTATTGGAGGACACTGACATCTCTGTGAGCAGACTTATGTTTTATTCTGCTGTGGCAAGCTTGGATCTTGAGAATCTCGCTTTATTCTGTCAGATACTGCTATTACAATGGGTTTTGTTGCTTTGTTGTAGGACGGAAATGATCTGTGGCTTGGAAGATAAATACTTGAGCAATTCCAAAAGTCCAATTCTCATAATTCTAATTTTTTAAATAGAATTCTACAAACTGGCAAACAGTATATAAGGGTGTAGCCTATCCTTAGATATATTCCATTTGCTGAAAAAAACCCCAAGTTTCAGAAAAAGCATCTCATCTGAAATGTTATAGAAAATTAGAGAACCAGCAGAGATCCCAAATCACTGGGACTTACATCTCTGATCATTTAGCCTTTTCGTCATACTGCTGGTGATGCTCTTGACTAGTAGATTCCAAATAGTAAAGAGCAAAGATGGAGAGGCAGCACAAAATTTTTGCTGACAAAATCTTCTGATTTCTTCAGGAGACCGAGGAGACAGAAGTAGCAAAAGGTTGAGAGGTTATAGGGGAGTTTTGAGGAGAAAGGGATCTGTAAGACTTGGGGGCGAGAGGAGGCAGCCACAAGGTAAAAAAGGTAGAAATTGCCATGGTGAAATAAGTACCCTGGTAATACCTGATTTTGGTACTTTAATGGTAGATGTTGAGTATCAGTCTCTTAATCTTTTTTGGGGGGGTGTTGCTGTAAGGTGAGCTCTAGTAAGGTCTGGCTGTGGTGGGAAAAGGCAGACAGCTGTGCAGGGAGGAAAGGACTGATGAATGAACTCCCTTTACTGGAAACTGAGTCCTCCTTCCACTCCTCCCTTCTCTGATGCTGCAGGGGCTATTCCTTCTACACAGCTTTGGAGCAGTGCCAATAATTACAAGGTAAGAGGAATGTTTACAGGGAGCTTAGATCACTCAGTCTCCCCTTCAAGATACCTTCCTTACCTTTAATGCTCTCCCTCCACTCTGACAGGGGCAGTCTGCTCTCATCAGAGAGTATCAACTTTCTTCAAATTACCACTGCAAGTACGGCTTTGCCAAGCAGGAGCTTTGGAGCTTGCAGGCCTGTAGAAGTGTGCAATACATGTGCCAAATGGTAGGAGCCAGCCACTAGATGGTACCATCCGCTTTGTTAGTTAGCTTTGTTTTCTCTGTGGGCTGGCCAACAGCCTTATAAAGTTTCATCTTGTCGAGATTTTTCTTTCACACAGCATGTCTCAAATCACTTTAATAGATCAAATTCTAATCTCAGTTAAGCCAGTGTAAAACTTGAGATTCTCAGATATCTGATCAACCAAAGCTATTATTTTTCAATTTAGATGGTGAGAGCTGGTTGTAGTGTTCTAAGGGAAAGTTAAGAGATCAGTTTTCTACCTTTGATACTGAGAAAAAGTCCTGTGTATTTTTAGGAAGGAGGAATCAAGTAAAAATCAGGGAGTTACTACTAAGTTCTAAGACAACCATGTCATCAAAATGTGCTGCAGTCGTATTTTCTTTCTAGAGTCTCCCATAAATTAAGGAATTCAAACCTAAATACTTTGTTGCAAGCAATGTACTGAAGAACATATTTGGAGTTTTGGTTTCCTTCTACTTCTTTGAGAGCTTTCAATAGTTTCCTTCATGTTGTTTTAAGTAGTTCTTAGCAGCAGAGAGCAGAATCTGTGGCAAAAAAATGACCTACTGAGAAAGGATTGCTTCGGGTGTTTGTATTTTCTGTAGGACCTGAAGATGCTATATATAATTACTTTAGGAATGAAATTGTTTTCAGGGATTTCACATGCTGTGTGGCCTTTGGAAATGTGGAAGCTAATTAGGATTAATTCAGGTAGGGCTTATATATTTCCCTCCTTCCCTTTCCATCATCTAAGAATTTGGCACATGAATAAAGGTCAGAGCAACATCACAAGTATGGTACTGAAAGTCTCATTTCTGTCTGTTTAAACATGTTACTGTTTATTGTGTAATGAACCTCTCAAAAACTACATAATTTCTGAATATTGGTTGTATGACAACATCATTATAAATACACCGTTTTGCATACATTTCCCATTTATCATATTTGATCACTTTTGAGCACTGTTATTGCCCTTGCAAAGATAAGCCAATTTTCAAGTGTTATGTGTGTTTAGAGGGCAACAGTGGATGGATGGATGGAGTAGGTGATGTGACTCACAAATCGGTTATCTCAGAAGCTAGTCACAGGAAGTCTGTGAAGAATTTTTGCTTGGAGAAGGCATCTCTGAGCTCAGAATAAAATGAGTAGGGATGAAAAGTGTTAGGACTTCTCACAGTCAGATAGTAATCTGAAAGCAGTAGTCTAGAAGGCTAAAAAATGGAAGAGGGCTTTTGCAAGAGCCGACACCTTTTAGATTTTAAGTATAACACAATAAAGAACAAAGGAAGAAAAAGCAGGGGGCCTGCATCTGCTTTCGCATACAAAACTGTTCAATCTGCATAATCTGTAAATCAGCACACCAGTTAATTACTGTCCAGTGAACCTTACCAACAAGTAACATTGTTTTTTTATGGCAGTACATAAATCTGTCACTGGACTATCTTAGTTGTATACAGTCTTGGACTTTATTGAGCTATGTGCATGTTTCATTAGACCTACAAAGTGTGAATGTGATGACTTTTTTCAGAATGATGTAACTAATCTCTAGATCAAGATTTTCTTTAGTTCAGTTTTCTGGTGACTGTGTCAAAAGCAGGTTTTGGAAATGAAAATTGCTAATGACAAGAATAATGTTTGAAATTAAAAAGGCAGTATTGTACTTTAAATACATTCTCAATTGTATTTTGAAGATGAGGGAATCATTGCGTGGTCCCTGAAGTGAGCTGTTCATCATACGGTGTTCTCTAGCAGAGGGAAGTAATGGGGCTAGGAAGGCATTAGCATTACACTTTGAAGGCATCCTGTTAATGAGTAAGGTGTTGACTCCAGAACAAAATGCTACAGAGTGGAGTTAAAAGGCAATGAAATACTTCAAGCTAATGTGAGAGTCCAGTATTGTTTATAGATAGTTGAGTTTAGTCAGCAGTTTTTCATAATGATTTTATTTTTTTCAGATTCACTGCTGTCCTAAAGAAGTAATGGTATGTAATATTAATAGTGTAGGGTTGTTGTAGTCATAATGCCCTAGAGATGAAACCAAACAATGCTGATAAAGATAATTAATGTCTTTTGTTCCCTCTACTCCATAGGCACAGGTGTAAGTTCTCTAACCAACTAATATAAATCAAACTTTGAGCAATTATTTTCAAACTGCAATTCACCTAATGTTTCTTGCTTGTTTTGGATCTGAAGAAGTTTTGTATGAACACTGTGTCATTTTTTTCCTGACTGATGTGCTGAAGACATTAATTTCTCTAAAATGTCACTTCATTAAGAAATGTGGGCAGTTCTTACTTTTCATGTGTCTGCTTGCAGAAGAAAATATGATAGTGGAGGCAATGCATTTCATCGGGCCACTTTGAAATTAATCATGGACAAGTTTTCTCTCACATTTCTTGAGTTCATGTGACTCTGAATGTAGGTACATAACACAGAAAAAGGTATAAAATAAAAGTAGCAATTTGTCAAGACAAATGCATATTGCTGCACTGTCAACACTGGGCAATCAATACTGGTGGCTGCTTCTCTGTCCATGGAAGACACAAGAGTCACTGTGTTTCCACACAAACATCACAGGCTCTGCTAAGAACCAGGCTGACTCTATGTGTTTGGACTGGCTATTTTAAGGTGTTATGTTCAAAAATACATTTTAAATTAGAAAATATTGAAGTTAGGGTTCCCACAGCCGCAAAGTCTTGCCTGTGTGTTATGCTCATACTTCAGTGTTTGTCTTTCTAAATGTATTGTTTAGTGTGCATATATTATATGCTTTATGAATTACAAGACTAAGTTAACATTGCTGTGAAAATGTTAACACCAGCACATATAGACTGAAGGTGTTACACCAAACAAATCTCTGAAATAAGTGG